TAATATTTGATATATTTTTGAAAAAAGTGTTTTATATAAAAATTTATTAACTTTTTAAAATTTTGGAAACAATGTGTATGTGTGGCGTTTTGTAGCTTAGAAATTAAAAGATTAAAAAAAAAATAATAGTAATATCAGAAAAAAATGCCACTGAAAGTATATTGTAACTATTAAACAGCACGTACTGATTGGCATTATTTTTGCGAATAGACTTAATGTTATCAATTATATTTGGTCACTTGATTACCATTTCACATTTATGTCAAATAGTTTTTCTTTACGTTACATAAAATTAAAAAAGAACTTATTCTTAGAATCACAAGCATCTTTATAATAAGACTGAAATAGATCTTTATATTTTTACAAAAAGAAAAAAGAATATGTCATAGAAATAAATTACATTACATACGAATGTTAATAATGATATACTCTCAACACAATCTCTATCCATATATATTTGATTTAAACTTTAGCTGTTAATAAGATGATAGTAACATTATCTTATGTAAACACACATATTCTTTTTCTTGTTTCTTCTCTATAAAGATTCCGCAACCTTTCTTCCATTAAAAAATTAATGAATCGAGCAATTCTTCCACAATAGAAGTTTTATCGATATTATCTCGATACTATCACTTGCAATAATTTTTTAACATTTAATTATAAATATTTTTATATAATTAATCTTGAAGTTTATAAATGCTGTTTAAGTTTATTTAAAATTTAGCGAAAAGAATAAAGACATATTTTTGCCTGTAAAACTTATACAATGAAATTTTTAAAATTTTTAATCGGTTGTAAAAAATATTATTTATATAAACATTTATATTAAAGACAACTAAGATAAACTTGTTCAAAAATAACTTTACTCGCAGAAATAATATATTATATAATCCGTAGGTGACAGTTTATCAAAATCGTATTTAATCGCATAAGTTATATATGCATTATCGCATTTGTTATCGTATTATATTGTACGCAAGAGTTCTTTACACTTTACATAATGAAAATGATTATTATTATTTATTGATTACTAATACAAATATATATTCTCAAAGATATTTATCTTTCATTTTTCATTGAGGAGTTTTCAGTATAAATCTTTTCTATGTAAATCTCTTAATTGCTTGAAGAAACATTATTGATGCAAAATCAATTGTTTGCTGTTCAAATTAGCTTTGTATTGCAATTTCTGTCATCATATCTTGCAATTTTTTATGTATATAAATTTGTTCAATTTGTTATGTATATAAATTTGTAATTTTTGCGTATAACAATATATATTAAAGCTTGCGAGAAGAGTATTCTTATAAATAACTATAACCTTTTTAACTGAAGAAAGTTATTAATTTGCAGATCATAGTGCGCGTAATATATTTTAATTTGTTATCAAAAGATTATATCGCAAAATTTCGCTATATGATTGATCTCATTTCTGTTTTATTTTATGACAAAACTTTAGTCCAAATCTGTTAAAAATACCCGGGAAGAATCAAAGTACACTTCAAAAAAATATTTCGAGAGAAACGCGAATTATTTTATTTTTAATAAAACAAATAATGCGAAACAAACGTAATAATATGAAAGATACGAATCCCGGATTTTCGAAGTGTCAAAGGGTAGACATAATTATCAATTATCAATATAAAGATAATTATTACACAAACAACGGAAAGATTGGTTATCACTGGTTATCGTTGTCGCTAGTTATTACATTCGGGATGTCACAATCTTGTACCCCAAACTTTTTTTATCTCGGCACAGAACAGTATATAATGTACCTCGCGGAAGATGCTGCGAGCCGATCCTTCGCGAAGCAAGCACGAGGATGAAAGCGATTGCGTTGTTCCTGACGGCTGCGTGCCTGGCTCATGCCACGCAAGTGCCCACCCACACCGCCGACAAACCATACCTGATTAAGCAGAAGAGCATCTACGAGCTATACTGGCATATCGATCAGCCGACCGTCTATCATCCGGAGCTCTACCAAAAGGCGCGATCCTTCAATCTCGAGGACAATGTCGCTTCCTTCACGGATCAGGTATTGAACGTAGCACAATCAGAGAGCTATATATGTATATTAAAAAAAATATAATTATTTTTTCCGTATATGTATAATAAAATTATATATGCACATATACATTATGAAACTATATTTTGTATATAAATGTATATTAATAATTGTTAAGACACAGTATATATAACTTCTTATAACAAAACTTATAATTCAAGAAAGAGAGATCTTCGAAATTTATGTTTATTATTGGTTTCGATGATAAAATATGCTTCTAAAATTAATGAATAAAAAGACTTTCTTACCTACTTTATATTGAACGAGAAGCTGTGGAAATCCCGTAATAATTTATCCCGATCCTGATTTAGTGAGCGATGCTGTGATTCATATCGTGGTCTGGTTGTTCTAGACGGCGGTGACCGAGTTGCTGCAACGATTGAAGCATGGAATGCTCCCGCGAGGAGAATTGTTCTTCGTGAATGTCCCCCAACAGTACGAGGAATTCATCAACCTGTTCCACGTCCTCCACACTGCCAAGGACTTTGACACTTTCTATAATACTGCCGTATGGATGCGCTTCCACGTGAACGAACTCATGTATGTTTACGCGTTGAGTGTTGCCGTCTTGCATCGTCCGGACACCAAAAACATCCGTCTGCCCCCGGTTTACGAGGTGCTCCCGCAGTACTTCTTCAACGAGGAGGTCATACATAAGGCCAATCGTATCGCAATGGGTGACACGCAATCTGGTTAGTACATTAATTAAACCGAATATTTATTTTATTTTATTCTTAAATTTAAATTATTCTATTTTATTATACGAATAAAATAATTATATCAATAAATAAACTTTCTTTAAACTTTTCTAATATTTAATTTAATTTAATTTAATTAAAAACGAACGCGAATTAAAGTTCTCCAGAAGAATAATCGTATATCGTTTCGTAAAAATCTTACGTTCTTTTTCAATGCATTAATTATCAGTATGCTAAGAATAGAACGCTATTTCTTCAGATTAGAAGAATACAAGATTAAAATAAAAGCTGTTTATTTATTTTATAAACAGATATTTTATATATTTTCTTTTTCTACTATTAAAACAAAATCGTTTGGCAACCGAGCAAATGTAATAAGAACGCTATTACATTGAAATATTAATTAAACTCTTTTTTACTCGGTTCTACAGTTGGCGTGAGGAAAACAATTGGGGGCGTGGATCATTATTACATTCCTGCCAACTACAGCGGCTCATATGTAATAAACGACCATGTTCCGGAACAGCAAAAATTAAGCTATTTTCTCGAGGATGTCGGTTTGAATGCCTTCTATGCCGTAAGCTCCCATGACTTCCCGTACTGGATGAACACCGCTAAGTACAACATGCCCCAGAACGTTCGCGGCGAATTGTACATGTACATGCATAAGCAGTTGCTCGATCGCTACTATCTGGAGAGACTGTCAAACGATCTCGGCGAGATTGATTACGTCGACGTGAACAAACCTATCGTTCCTGGTTACTATCCGACGATGCAACATCCCAACGGTGTGTCGCTTCCACAACGTCCAGTCGGTTTCGAGGTCCCTCTTCATGCGCACATAGATGTCCAGGTCGGTAATGCGTTCCCTCGGCGATTATTATAAGAATCAAAACTAAAACGTCCAAAAAACGTCGAAAGGATATTCCGGAGATAGAAAATATCCTTTGGATGTTTGTGTTGTCTAGGAAGTTATCTGGAAAATAGCGGGTTTATTAATGACAATGTTGTTACGAGTAATAATCGAATCATGAATTAATTAAATCATTAACTATAATTTTTCTACGATTATCTCCGATACAGGCCCTGCAGGACTTCCATGTTCGCATCTCCGACGCCATCGATAGCGGCTATCTTGTCGACGCGAACGGCAAACATATCAACATTTACGATACTATGGACGGTCTCAATCATCTCAGCAACGTTATCCATGGTAATGCCGATTCCGTCAATCCCACATATTATGGACGCATAGATCCATTGTATAGGAAGATCTTCGGCATAAGCCCGGTACACATCACCAAGCACCACGTTGTCGCTACTGCTCTCGACATGTTAAGCACCCGTTTGAGAGATCCCTTGTTCTATGGAATATGCAAGAATATCGTCAATTATTGGGAGAGGTATAACTTTGCTAACCCAAGTCCAATCTGATACGATTCTAGTGAGGAATCTTGAAATCAATTATTCAACACGATTATGTTCTCATAGATATAAACAACACTTGCCGAAATACACGCACGAGGAACTCGTTTTCCCGGGCGTGACAGTCGAATCCGTCACCGTCGACAAGCTAACGACATTCTTCGATCATTTCGAATCGTTGATCAGCAACGCCGTGTCCGTGCGCAGTCACAAAGAGGCACAATCGATGCTGATCAAAGCGCGTCAATATCGTCTCAACCACAAGCCTTTTACCTATCACATTACCGTCAATAGCGACAGGCCCGTTAAGGCGATCTTCCGCGTCTTCCTTGGACCGAAAAACGACGTTTACGGCCATGAAATAGACATGAGCGAGAACTATAAGAACTTTATGGAGATGGATCAGTGGATCGTCGATTGTAAGTATCGGATTATCTACCAGCGCGCATCTCCTTTTTATAAGAGATCAGATATATTTTTGCTCACAAATTTTTTATCGAGATCGTTTAAAATTGAATTTTTGTTCGAGGAAAGATATATAAGGTTCGGACAGCTTCTCGATTGCCATTAATAACGTTAATCGTTACAGTGAAAACCGGTGCTAACAAGATTGAACGCAGCAGCCACGAGTCCATCTACGTCGTTCCGGACGAGGTGCCAAGCGACGTCTTATACAAGAAAGTGGTGAAGGCTCTCGAGGGTGGCGAGACCTTCACCTATCCAGGACAGCTTTACGGTATCCCTGATCGTCTAATACTTCCCAGAGGCAAGAAGGAGGGCATGCCGTTCAAGCTCTTTGTGGCTGTGTCGCATTTCGACGAGACGAGAGCCATGCACGTAGATAATCCCGTCCTGGGTCTCAGCGTGGTGGACGCTCGTCCGTTAGGATACCCACTTGATAGAGTGCCTTCCTTCAACTTCACTGTACCCAACTTCTACTTCAAGGACGTTCTAGTTTTTCACAAGCAGGCGGAGGAATTGAATCTCACCGTGTAACAACAAAGTCCATTTTTAACCCGCTACGCGATGATGTCAGATCATATTCTCTTCGCGCTTATAACTTGTAGTTATTTAGCACGCGATTGCGTTGGCTAGAAAAGAGATATACCGATAAAAGATATGAATATTGTGTCCTCCAGTACACATATGTAACGTGTAAATTGCATCTCCCAGAAGAAATAAATTCTACAAAACATCCTGTCACATTTATCTCTGCTCTTCTGTCTTTCTGTACTTGTCTCAAATATTTTGGTTTCAGTCGATCCTCCTTGATTTCTTTCAATCTTTTCTTTACAAAGATTCTTTTCGTCTCAAAGTAGATTTCATTAAAAACTGCAAAATTAAAAGCATATGTTTATCGACTATTTCTATTGCTTGATAATTAAAATAAATTGAAATTTATTGACATTGCGGTTTGAACAAATCGACACGATTCGATTTCTGCAAATATTTCACGATATAAATACGCGATAAATATGCAATATGTTGATAAATATGCGATTTATAGCCATTATAAATGATTCGGCGGCGTTCTTTTAATAAAGATGTCGTAATGTTACGATAAGAAATAATAAATACTTCGTATTTTGCATATGCGGTCATTTTACATAATCGATATTTATTTAATTTCACTATATTGATAAAACCTTGAAATCAATGAGCAAACACTTGAATAGATAAATATAATGCGCTATAATATTTTCCAGTATGATATAGATGTATTGTATAATGATAACAATTAATTCCTTAAAATATCTTTGATATTTAAATATACTAGTTGTCACTATTATTATAAAAATTATTAGATTTATTATCAACAAATATTCTAATTTATTCTAAATTGTACGGACTGTGTCTTATGCAAAAACATATTAACTGGTAGAATAATTACTTTAAATGAATCAAGTTTGAAACGCAGATTTTTACACCTAGTTCTATATGTAACGTGTTCTAATGAATCAATTAATTTTTGCATAATAACCTCCATTAACTTTATCGAGGACGCAGGCGATTATGCTCAAGTCATAATAATAACAGCCGGCTGTTTAGAGCATTTATCACAGGTCATGGGGTGAGGAGCTTTCGAGAAAATGATTAATTATTTCATTCTCGGATACAGCCATCTCAGACAATAGACTCAAATAAATCGCGATAATATCTTTTGTTTATCATCTAAGGACAATTGTTAGTCTATCGATCTATTATGGGGAGTTTTTACCGTCACAACGTATCAACAATCGTGGCATAAACCGCGACATCGGATTCTTATATATGCAAATTAACTTCTGCTTTTAACTGTTACTTACTTTTACTGTTACTTTACTTTTTACAACAAAAGTTACAAAACAAAGCTATTATACACATGAATCGCTTGTTCTTTATTTATCCATACGTACGTGCAAATGATTGAAACAGATATAAGAATTTCTTATTCTATAAAATGTATTTCTTAATACTTGTACTTGATCGCATAAACAAAGCAAAATAAAAATAAATAAGACAAACAAAATAATAATAAAATAAAATAATAATAAAATAATAAAGAATAATATTTGTTTCTTAATCTTCATTAGTAAGTATGTTTGCAAGTGTATAATTGACGATCAGCTGACATTACGGCATAAATATATTAGTAGCTATAAGATGAATTTCTTATAATTCAATTACACAATATTAAAAAGATAAATATTTAAGAATTGAATGTGATTATAGTAAAAGATAAAAAATTTTAAGAATCAATAAATCAAAGACCAGCGATTTTCAATTAATAAAATACATCTGTATCTAAAAAAAGTAATAGAAAAAGTGTCATACTCTTACAAATGTCAGGTTTGGGAAATTTATTAAATCTACAAAATCAAATTGTATGATTATAATATATAAATATGATCATAAATACTGAAACTCATTTAAATCGCCACGCGCTATACGTGATATAAATTTATAATTTGGATTCGAGTCAAAAGTCATATGCGATAAGCGCGCGTATTTACACTTATGCGGCTTTAATGAGCTCTCATATCATTTCTTGAGAGGCGATTTATATAATTTAGCTTATATTTGTTGTTGTAAGCCCGAATGCGTAAAGCTCGCACAAATATATTTTCGATTGATTGCGCGACTAGGTGTACTCAAAAACTGTATATATCTCGTGTGATGACCTCCCGTACGAGAAAGAATCCATTAACGGTACGATAGCAACGAACATTTGTTTTTTAATTAGTAAGGATGTTTATTTGACTAGCAAAATTTTACATACTCGCATTGAAAATCAACGATTAATCATTCATTCGTGCAACACACGTTCCGCGCGCTGTCGGAGAAACAAAACAAAAACAAAGAACTTTGCCGATTCGATATCGAGCACGGTTCGTCCATGATTCGCCCCTATGACCTATCGACTTGATTGCGCGCTCGATTTAGATGTATAAAAGCGCGGCATCCTGTGTCGCACAGAATTCTCGACTCGGCGCGTCGGGGAAAGTTTTGCGAAAGATGCAACTCCTGACGGCACTGGCCGTCATCGCGGCCGTCGGTTTGGTAGCGGCCGATTACAATACTGTCAAGGTCGCCGACGAGGAATTTCTCCTTAAGCAGAAGAAGATCTACAAACTTTTATATCACATCGCGCAACCCTCCTTCGTAAATCCTACCCTGTACGAGGAAGGCCGCTCGTACAATATCGAGGCCAACATCGACTCTTACACTAACACGGTAAATATCGTATCAGTCACGTAAATGATAACGGATCAAAGATTACGCTTCTTTTTTTGCTTCCTCATAGAGGAAGCTTTGTTATTTTATTTATTAACCGGATTGCTTTTTTCATTATCCTGTCGGTTAATTCCGGACATTTATTTTGAAACCGGTCGAGTTGTGTGGAATTAATCGTGTTTCGTCTCTTCTTATCCGTAATATGCGAGTGATTCGAGGAAAAAGAATTAAAGTTTCTGAACAATGAAATTTTGTAATAGAACGATTTGAGAAAAATGTGATATCGCGTATGTAAATTATCTTTTAGCATACATTTTATAAGATTAACTCTTATCTATAGTATTCTTTTCATCTGATTTTTTTTTGCAGACCGCGGTGAAGAACTTCCTTCAGCTATACGAATATGGCGTACTTGCGCGCGGTGAGATCAGCTCCATATACTATCCGAAGCATCTGAAAGAAACGGAGGCATTGTTCCGTCTATTCTATTATGCCAAGGACTTTGATACCTTCTACAAAACGGCGCTATGGGCGCGTGTTTACATGAACGAGATGCAATACATGTATGCCATTTTTATCGCCGTTATACGCCGCGAGGACACCAAATTCATTCAGCTGCCGCCTATTTACGAGATGTATCCGTACGCATTCTTCAACTCCGAAGTACTCAAGAAAGCGCAACACGCGAAACTCTTCGGTAAACCCGGTGAGCTGATGTTAGAGATTCATTTGCAGATTAAAGACAGAGTCCAATGAAGTCCGCGTATGATCTTAAACATTGAAAAAACATTTCGTTAAAGTCGTCTCTTCGGGAACTCGTCATTTAAAGAATTTTCTTTAAATCTGTAGATTCGAAGAAGCTCGGTAGCTACATCATCCCAGCGAATTATTCCGCATGGTACATATCACACGAGTACGATTTAGAGCACAAGCTCAATTACTTCACCGAGGATATCGGCTTGAACGCCTATTACTTCTACTTCCGGAGCGACAATCCGTTCTGGCTCAAGAGCGAGGAATTCGGATTGCAGAAATGGCGCGGCGCGGAATACTTTTACGGTCACAAGCTGCTGTTGACCCGTTACTACTTAGAACGCCTGTCCAACGACATGGGTAAGATCGAGGATTTCGATTGGCACAACGAATTCTACACCGGATACTACCCTACGATGAACTATCACAACGGGCTGCCGTTGCCGCAGAGGCCTTATTGGAGCAAATTCCCCTACTACAAGTACGCATATATAAAGGTGCGATTTAATTTTGTCGGCTGCAGCGGGAGAGCGATCGGGAACGTTTTTTAATAAAAATCCGCTTCTAGAACTTGGAGGACATGGAATCTCGAGTCTCGGCCGTCATCGATTCTGGATTCGTCTTGGACGCGACCGGTAAACTGATCAACATCTACACACCCGAAGGCCTCAACATCCTCGGCAACATCATCGAGGGCAACATGGACTCCTGCAACCGCGACTTTTACGGCAGCATCGATTTGTTCGCGAGGAAGGTTCTTGGATACAATCTGGAGCCATCAACTTCGTATCAGATTATACCTAGCGCCTTCGAATTTTACAGCACATCTATGAGAGATCCCGCGTTCTACCGTCTCTATAAGAGAATATTTAAGTTCTATCATAACAGGTAATACTTGGGGTGGACTTAAAGAAATATGGAATCCTCTGGTCCTGCGTTTTATTTTGCAACGTTAATATGACCTCTTCCTTTTGACAATATATCCGAATATAATTTTTTTCAGATACAAAGTGCATCAGAAACCGTACAACAAGGACGAGATTATCTATCCCGAGCTAAAGATCGAGTCCTTTGTCGTGGATAAGCTGATTACCTTTTTCGATCAATTCGACTCCTCGATCAGTAACGGTTTGATAATCAATAACGCGGAGGAGGCCGAGAAGACATTGGTCAAAATTCGTCAGTATCGTCTCAATCACAAGCCGTTCAGCTTCCATCTCTCCATCAACGCCGAGAAGCCGATAAAAGCCGCGATACGCATCTTCCTCGGGCCGAAATATAACGCACATCATAAACCGCTGGACATCGCCGAAAACGCATATTACTTCTATGAAATGGACAACTGGATACTCGATCGTTAGTAGCAATTTAATTTCTTTCTCTTTTTGACGATAACTTTATCGCACACGAAAAAAGAGAAAAAAAAGCTAGCACGAGTTTTATCAATAGTTACCTAAACAGCAAGGTTTTTAATTTTATCTTTCTGCAAATTATATATTTTGTTCTCTAGAAAAACGAATTAATTTTTATTGAGAGCAGTGACAGTCTTGTTGGGAATTCCTGCACAAAAAATTTCCTCAGTCAGATTTTTAATATAATCGTGGTGTTAAAGAATTTGATCGCTCTTACATTTAGATGAGATAATAAAATCTTTTTTTTCGTGTGTATATAGGGACTCATTTTTCATATCTGGAGGTAAATCTTCTTTTATGTTGCATTATAGTGAATGCCGGCGCGAACAAGATCGTCCGAAACAGCCAAGATTGCGTCTTCGTAATACCCGATCCGGAACCGAGCGAAGTCTTCTACAAAAAGATACTTAAGGCTCTGGACGGTTCCGACACTCTCTCGTATACGGAACGTCTCTACGGATTCCCCGAGCGTCTCCTTCTGCCCAAGGGCAAGAAGGATGGCATGCCTTTCCAGATCTTCGTGTACGTGAGTCCGGTCGAGGGAGAACCGATCCCCTACATGTCCCGCATCTTCGGTGGCTACAAATTCGACGAAAAGCCGCTCGGTTTCCCGTTGGACAAGCCTATCCTCAATTTCCGGTACAACGGATCGAACATGATGCTGAAGGACATTATGATCTATCACAAGGATGAGATGGAGCTGAATGTCACTTATTGAGATAGTCTTATGCTACTTATTAAGTCTTCCATCATTCAACGTAACGACACATCCGCGACAAGACGTATCTGAATAAAATAATATATATACGTTTTGCTGATGAAGATTTTTAGAGATTTCACACGAAAAACATTTTTATTATCATTACTTTAGAATTATTGTGATTTAATTAAAATTTTTTACATAGAACAAAAAGATTTATGGTATAATTAAAATAGAAATAATTTCTTGTCAAATTATTGTAAAAATTAAGTAAAACGATTTTTTTGAAAGCTTTAAAAAGATTAATTTTGAAAATTAAAGAATTATATAATAATAATATATTAGCTATGTTTTATAAGCTGAGAAAAACAATCCTTATTAACCTTGCATGATGCATAATATAAGTAGGGGAAAGTAGGGTAAAACCTGGTACTTTTTTGAATTTGTCATTCTATAAAAAATCAAAGAGTAAAAAAAAGTTTGCTGACCATTAATAGTCTTTAGTGGACCTTAAACTATGAGAAAATGAGACTAGTTGCTGAAAAAAAAATTTAGTTACCAAGGATAACAAGATTTTTTGAAGAAATTAAAATATCCGGTTTTACCCTACTGATAGGGTAAAACCGGATATTTTAATTTCTTCAAAAAATCTTGTTATCCTTGGTAACTAAATTTTTTTTTCAGCAACTAGTCTCATTTTCTCATAGTTTAAGGTCCACTAAAGACTATTAATGGTCAGCAAACTTTTTTTTACTCTTTGATTTTTTATAGAATGACAAATTCAAAAAAGTACCAGGTTTTACCCTACTTTCCCCTACTTATATTATGCATCATGCAAGGTTAATAAGGATTGTTTTTCTCAGCTTATAAAACATAGCTAATATATTATTATTATATAATTCTTTAATTTTCAAAATTAATCTTTTTAAAGCTTTCAAAAAAATCGTTTTACTTAATTTTTACAATAATTTGACAAGAAATTATTTCTATTTTAATTATACCATAAATCTTTTTGTTCTATGTAAAAAATTTTAATTAAATCACAATAATTCTAAAGTAATGATAATAATACTGATAGGGTAAAACCGGATATTTTAATTTCTTCAAAAAATCTTGTTATCCTTGGTAAATTTTTTTTTACCCATTTGAAAACATGCAAAACACCGTGCGATTATAAAATCTAGATTTATTTTAATCAAAATACAATACAAAGATGTATTCTATTGATAAAAATCACGAATAAAGATATCTTCTTGTTTTATATTGCTAGGACTTTCTTATTTAATTTTTTAACTTTAGAGGTCTCAAAAAGCTTTGGTTTTAGTCATTTCTTTTTCTGAGTGGTAGTTTTTGTTTCCAACTGCTTTTTGTAGGAAGATAAAGTCAGGATAACAGTTTTTTCTCTTTTCATTACATGAGGTGTGTAGGTACCCGGTTTTGCCTCAACACAAGGAAAATAACAAACACGGCGGCTGTATATTCCGGCATACAAAGTGATCAAAACTAGTGCGATATACTCTCTAATATGTATAGAATGCAATATTTACTGTATTTATGCTGTATTTACCAAAGCAGATGTTCTATCTAGAAAAAGTCCATAACTCGATTGTTGCCCCGATATCGATGTTTTTAGCCCGAAAATTTTAAACTTTTCTTAAAAAAGAAATATCGTGTGCACGTGAGCACGGTTTATCTCAAAATAATATTGGCATCAATCTACAACTAATAACACGAGTTAGCCAAAGATAGTAGCACTTATCACGAAGAAACAGAGGTACCCGGTTCGACCCGCCTATCCGGTTTTACTCTACTTTCCCCTACATGTGCATGCGTTTCAAAAATGGTTATTAATTTTAAACATAGTTATTAAAAATCATAGAATATTGTAGCAATTAAAATCGTTATTAAAAGAACAAAGAATGAATTACTGAAAAAATAAATAATAATATATGAGCTCATTTTTATTTTATTCTCTAGTAAAATTTATGCTGTATTTACCAAAGCAGATGTTCTATCTAGAAAAAGTCCATAACTCGATTGTAGCCCCGATATCGATCTTTTTTAACCCGAAAATTTTGAACTTTTCTCAAAAAAGAAATATCGTATACATGTGAGCACGGTTCATCTCAAAATAATATTGGCATCAATCTACAACTAATAACACGAGTTAGCCAAAGATAGTAGCACTTATCACGAAGAAACAGAGGTACCAGTTTCGACCCGCCTATCCGGTTTTACTCTACTTTCCCCTACATGTGCATGCGTTTCAAAAATGGTTATTAATTTTAAACATAGTTATTAAAAATCATAGAATATTGTAGCAATTAAAATCGTTATTAAAAGAACAAAGAATGAATTACTGAAAAAATAAATAATAATATATGAGCTCATTTTTATTTTATTCTCTAGTAAAATATTTTTAATTTTTCATTTGCGATTCGATGGATTTTGTTGAAACAAATTCAAGAGAATATGCAGCAAGCGATCATTTGAGATTATTCAAGTTTGGCAAAGAAGGGAGAGAGAGAGAAAAGATATATTGTCATCATTTTTTAATTATTAAAATCAACTCTTTTCCTCAAAAAAATATGGAAATATCTAACAAGGAATGACTCATTTTATACTTTTAACTTGTTCTGCGTAAAGAATTATTTCTTTTCTAATATTGCATTTTTTAATCTTACATGATTTTCGCGGCCGTATTATAATTTTTCTAATTGTATTGTGATAATAATTACGTGTAATATGGTTGTACTGCGTAATTATATATGTGGTATTTTCTTTTAATCGGTCCAAATTCGATACCTTCGCGCGTTCCTCCACCGTACGACGGTCAAGTACGCGGCCAAGGTGAAGGTAAGTCCTTCCTCGAGCGATGCGGATGACGAGAAATTCAGTTTTGCTATAACTGTTGGCCGGTAGATACGTAGACCTAACCGGAGCTCTCGCGTGAGTCAGTGTCGAGAAGAACTTGACAAGTCACAGCTCTCGCGAAAAACGAACGTTTTTATCTCCCCCTTTGTCCTTCACACTGGACTAACGCGCCATGGAATTTCGCACGTTTATCGTAAGTTCTTTTTTTTCTTCTTCAATAATTTACTTTTTACGACTGCGATATATTCTGGGATCAATGATCAAGTGAATTATATGGATCGCTCCAACATTTTTGCGTCTTCTTTAATTTACGGATGCTTTGAGGCCAATATATTTCCTTACCAAAAATTTAACATGAAGTGCTATTTTATTTGTTACTTTCCACAATATCTATATATATTTTTTATTTAAAAAATAAAATAGATAAAAGCTTTAAATATTGATAAAAATATTAATTGTATACCTAAACAAAATAAAAAGAAGTTTTTAATCTATTTATATAATTTTATGAAATTGATTACATATGAATCTATAGATATCTTTCCACTTCTGATAAAGTTAATTTAAATTTATTTTTAACTTCAAATTGGAGTTAAGGATCCATAAATAAATAGAAGAAGAAGAAACTGTAGGATGTTCTATATACCGGATGCGACATAAAAACACATTCAAATATTATAAAAACAAAGCATTTTATAAAAAATATTTGAGATAAGAATATTATGGTAGTGATACTCGGAGTATTAAGATTATCGAAAACTAAATATTTTACGAGATATTTTATATATTTTATATCAAAATATATCAGATTAAGATATAAAATAACTCGAAAAATACTTGATGAAAAAATACTTTATTATAGTGTTTTGAAAGTTTTGAAAAAAATAACTCGAAAAATACTTGATGAAAAAATACTTTATTATAGTGTTTTGAAAAGGTCTCAAGAAGGGTTATAAGAATATGCAATAAAAAATAAGGATTCCCATTAAAAAAAGGTAAAATTGATCTTCAAATAATCTTCAAAACGTCCACCAAATTAAAAATAATGCTATTCTTTTTCCCCTTCAAAAGTAAACAAATTTGGCTGTAACATATTTTTATAAAATGCTTTATTTTTATGATATTTAGATGTGTCAATTTAAATGCTGCACCCTGTATATGCGAAAGCAGTTTATAAGCAATCGCAAATAAAAATTTATCTAAAAGAAAAAATAAAAGAGAAAAAGAGATCTTTAATGCAACTTTAAATTTGGATTTATTGCAAAATTAGAAACTAAGAGAAGCATGGAGTTTTGCACGATCATCATCGCTTTCCTTTAAAAATGACAGAAACTGAAAAAAATTAATTTGTAGAGATATTACAAAAATTACAATTTTGGAGTTGCATCCTTTTTTAAACAATATTAGGTAGTCGCACTATCATCGGCTATGCCCCGCTAAATGAGAATCGAGTCTACCGTTTCTGTCGATACCGGTTCGGAGACGTCATTGTCCTCGTAACTGTATCGTAATTTCCTAACGCTCGAATCTACTGCAAGAAAGTAGGACGGACATCCACCTTGTACGGGCAACGCAGAGAAAGAATTCCTACATTGAAAATCCTCAAGGCCCATCGAGCTACGTCTAGTAAAGAGTCACTCGCTAATTAATAATCACATTTTGCTATATACATCGAGTAGATTGTGGAAATAAAGTAGATGTAACGCGGTTGAGCTATTGCATTATGATTGAATAAAGTCGCACAAAACACTTTACGATATATAACGTAATATTTTTCTCAAGTTAATTTTAATTTTAAATTAAAATCTTTTTCAATAGAATCTATTTCATCTTAAAGAAAGGCATCAATGGAGATCAGATGTCATGCTTTTTCGAAATAAAAAGATGATAATTATTATGCATAGGATTTCTTCTCGATCTTTGAAAAATTAACAAACAAACTCGCAACGTACAGGATACATCGTAACGCGCATATGAAATAAATAATAGCAATAAGTTAAAATTTTTTTGCCTCCAACTTATCAGCCCTTAAGCAAAACGAGATTATCAGTAGAACGGTATACACAGTGTAATGCACCGGTTAGTAGGGCAACGATCGAGTAGCATGCGCGTTATAAAATAGGCTGAACAGACCGGAGAAGAGCCGACTGTGGACCGTGTACCGTTAGCACCCAACGCATACCTCGGTAACTACGAGTGAATACCTCTCTCGTAATCGCGATGTAACGTAATACTTATTAGCCGTTATTATTACGCCAAGAACGCGTATAGAGAAATCTTGCATAGAGAAATTGTTGCAATGAAAATATCACGAGAGAATCAAATACGGACTTACTATGACGAAAACAAAAGATTACACAAATTATATAATTATTTTATATGTGTGTCTCCCGTTTTTTAAAATTAAGTTAGTTAAAATGTAGTTAAGTGCATGACTAAGAGTTATTAGTTTTTCCTTTATAGATCTTTCCAGCAAACATAGAGATATTTACAGCATATAATTTGAATAATTAATTTTATATTAGAATAGACTAAAAATCTCTTTTCTAATATAACGAGAAATACATATTGTACTATAGAATAAATGCAATTGTGTTTTTATCTAACTACTAAAAGATAATCTATTTCTTTTCGTAAAAATATGATTATTATTCTTTAGATGATACTCTTGTGCGCATCGTCCTACGCCGAAGATCACGAGAAATCCAAAAATACTAAGCCGATCGCTAACGACAACGAATCGGTTAAAGGGGGAGAGAATGAGCCCCCGGAGGGATATTACGCGTTTGTCGAATCACCAAATGCGGAACCACCCAAAGTTCGGCCACCGCCGTACATCGACAGCGACAAGGAATGTTACGGTAGGTTCAGAGTACGCGGTATATAAGGAGTGTCACACTTCTAAAAAAGATGTACATTTAAATATCTTTGTTCCTTTTAAAGATATCGAAATATCTTTAACGCACGATTACATTGCGCGTAGAGAGAAACGCGTACAAGGTGAATAAAATTTTATTTATATCTCTCAGATAAAAATTTCTCATCGAGCAAAGTTGTCGGTGATAATCATTCATGCCTATCGCGTAATCTTTTTACTTAAAAATTTTTGTTGTAGTATTTGCATTCGACATTAAATAAAAAAGAAACTTTCATTAATTTGTGCATTTCCGGACTAAATCACAAAAATATTTTTGATTTTAATTGCCACCATTTGACTTTTAGGTAGCAAGGATAAGCAAGGAAAGGGATTTGTTTCAATACATAATATCTGCGGTGATTTAAACAAAGGTTACATTCCGCGGAATCCAATGAACCAATATGTGAACGGCTCATCGTATCCTTTGTAAGTGAGAAATAAGTCAAATAAACTTATATATATATAACGGGATATGTAACAGTTCCCGTGTTATTAAAGGATTTTATTAAAATGGTAATTTTTTAAAATTTTATTTTCGCAGCGCCCTGATAAAAAATCATACCCTCAAATTCCTCAGCAAGGCGTTGCCGATCCTCAAGGCTGATGACTCGCTGCCGAAAGTCGCCAAAGTGCATCCGTTGTCGCAAAATTCGTAAGTAGTCCGAGGTATCTTCCTTGTAGGATGCGCCACATGTACCTGCAAATTTTTGTACAAATTAAATTCATATTTGTATATTTGTTATCTTTTTTCACATACTTTCGCTTAATTCTTTCACAAAATAGATGAGTAAAATTTAAATTTTTAATGTACAAATACATTGGTATCTATTATATACTATCAACACCAGTATTTATTTTGAAAATAAATATGTTATAATACCGGTGCTCGATAGTTTTTCCTTTAGTTGCAAATTGCATGCATCAATTCGATATATCGAATCAGGGAACAATCTCTTTTCTTTAGTGTTGATACGGAGGAAGGAGAAATACACGGCAGAAGCAAAAGATCTAATCCGGATTTGACTTTAGCCACGGATATCAATCGAAATGGTCGTAAGTTTTGCGAAAACGGCGGCGGAGTGTAAGTGTATCTTACTATTTCAAGAACAAGTTCAATCTTTATATCTGTATTATATATACTATACATAAAGAACCTGTTTCTCAGATCTAACGATACTGCTTTTTATCTATAGATTTCTTTAGCAATTTATGAATTAAATTCTTCTTTAACAGAAATGCATTGAAAGATTATTAGTTTTAAATTGCAAGCGATTGGAAGTGAAAATCTTTTCGGAAACTAAACTTCAAAAAAATAAAAATAAGATAATTTTATTTTTTATTAAAAATTTCAAGTTAACTTTACTTTGACAAATTTTTAATCCGTTATAAAAAAGATAAAGATAGAAAAATAAAGATATCTGTGATATTAAAGACTGTATATACTCTCTTGTGCCAAATAATGACTTTTCCCTCGATATTTTCTGTAAGAAATAAATCAGTAGAAAGTATCTTTAGGAGACAGTTCTCACATATATATGTATATCTAGATCTTCCACGTTGATTATAAAATAATATTGTGTTCTCTTCTCGACACACACATCACACGAACAGAGTGTGCATGTTGTACAAGGCTATCCAAGGTGAACCGATCGCGTCATCGGCGTCAGTTATCGAACGTCGGGACGAACCTTCGACATCCGAGTATCGTCGAGGTGAACGTGTACCTTCGCAGGAGAAAACTGAGTATACAGGACCGCCGACGCCGTGTCCGGCCAAGGTAGAATACGCGACTCCCGTCTTCGCCAAGAATTACCAGGGTGTCTGGAGATACGTGGTGCAGATACCTTACGAGGGTTACTTCACACAAACCATCGAGCTCACCAGATGCATGTAAGATATAGCGCATTATGAGAGATTTACGCGATTTCTTTGCGTTTTGTGAAATGATATTTTAAAAATCCCCTTGACTGATATTACAGGCAATCGAGATGCCATTACCTGGACGGCGGATGCCTGTCGTCACCGAGATGGACGAGTCTGTTGGTGGCCGAGATATTTTATCCGGACACATTCTTGGAGGAAAATCAAGGGGTCGGTATCGGATCCGGTACTAGGGATCCCGTCGCCGTATCGCCGCCGCCGGTCCACGACTTCCAAAATTATCAGCAGTATCTGCAGAAACGCGCGACCACAGGAGAGGCGCGTAATAACGGTGGCTCTCAGCAACATCACTGCGACGGTGTCGACGAAATGGGTTGCTTCCAAGTAAAATCTTTTCTCTAAAACACATTTCCAAAATTACTGTTTGCGCTTATAATTTTTCTGTTCTTTATTCTTGAGATATTAATTGATTGATCTTACTTATTTATCGTCGTAGGAATTTTATTACTCTCTTAATAACTCTTCTCATTCTTTTTTTTTAAATATTTTTTCGATAGATTTTTATTATAGATAATAACAAAAAATATGTCTTTTTTTTATTTTATATAAAACAGCGAGTCGAGTATCAATCTTTTGCGTCTCATGTTGAAAGTATGGAGAATAAGAGACTTTGCGATATATATTCGCTAATTTCTTGTGTTTTTATGTTATATCCTCTTTTTTAGGTACGATTGTATTACGATTGGTTCTTGGTACCGGGCAGTTGCAAGTGTTGGCGACCGGATTACTTTAATCGATACGTTCGTCGCAGCAGTTCCAACATCGAATTATGATGAGTTTCACATCCGGGTAACTTCCATCCCGAGTAGGTTTTACTTCATCGAGTGATTATTTCAATCGCCGTTTTGTAGAAGCCAAATAAGCGACACTTTGTCATTTAAATCGTTTGAAACATCACGCATAGTCACAAACGTTGACGCGTTCACCTATACCCAGTAAGCAATTTGATAACAAATTGTTGCCAAATTGGCATCAAATTCGCACAAAACTTGGTAACAAATCCAGTGTCATCTGTGTCCGCATTAAGCTTGTGTTTTGGTGACAAAGCTTGCTAACATAACCTGACAGCAAATTGACGGCAAAAACCGAGCAAAGCTTGACATGATTTGACGTCAAATTGGTGGCAAAAATCGAGCAAGATCTGCGCAGGACAATCTGACAGCAGATTGTCAGCAAAAAACAAATTCTGCAGCTTTTGGCCATTCATACAAAATAGTATATTTAAATGGATTTAAAGTCTCAACCATAAGTAACAAAATGATGATAAGTTTTAGTCATAAAATGAATATACACAATATTTTATAATAAACGGACGTACATCGACTCGAGTTTAGCCATATAAAGGACAAATCCATTGCGTTATATTAATTAGAATAATCATGAGATATCTTATTTGGATACAATAATACGATGTAAGAAATAAATAAGAGAGAGAGACAGTATTGTGATGATGCGTGGAAGTATTATTTCCGGATATAAAGATGAGAAAAATAATGGTTTCACGCACAATTGGAATGTAAGGGATTATTTTTCTACACTGATTATTAATCTAATCATTTTTTATGAAATAGAAATTGATTAATTTTCTCTTTTTAGTTTACACACTTTATTTTACATTTTATAAATTCTTTTATATATTATATATATATATATTTTTTTTCTCTTTGCACAATATATATTAACGTCATTAGTCTCTGTCTTTTGTGTACAATAAGGGTAATTTTGTCCGCTTTTTAAATATTTTTAATGTTATACATATATATAACATTAAATGATATTTAAGTGATTTTATATAGTGTCATTGTACAATGTTAAAAACATTATATAATGCTAGTGTAAAATAAATTTTTAGAGTCTTGAAAATATACCACCAGTCACTGCTATGGTTTCACCAGTAATGTAAGAAGCATCGTCACTTGCTAGAAAAGCGGCTACACTCGCGATCTCGTCTGACGTTCCCAATCTTTTCATACCAATATTTGACGTAGAAAAATCGTATGCTTCCTGTGTGTCATAGTACTAAAAACGTGAAAAATTCATATAAAAGATGATCTTTTAATGAAACAACGAAAGATTATCTTTTAATAAAACAACGAATTAAATACGACTTAGAAAATGGCAAAATACCTGTTTTGAAAATTTAGTCTTTATTAACCCGGGTGCAATACAGTTTACGCGGATCCCATGAAGTGCAAGTTCCATTGCAGTTATTCTAGTCAAACTCAATAAAGCAGTCTTGCTAATTGAATATATACCAAGAGACTTAAAAAAAGAGAGAAAATATAAATTATAAAAAATTATGTTTACTATATGAAATGTTCTTTTAGTAAATAGAAGACATAAAATTCAAAGTTTTTCTCTTAAAACAGACTTACTTCACAATATCTATATGCAGCAATTGTAGATATAGTAATAATAGAAGGTGAAAATGATTTATTGCGTTTGAGAAGTGGCAGAGACTCCTTCATGAGCAAGAATGTAGATTTAAGATTGATATCAAAAATTTTATCCCATACTTCTTCAGTATTATCTAATACCTGGCCAATGGCTGGGTTAACAGCTGCATTAGATATTAAAATATCTAAACCTCCAAAATTGGCTTTGGTCTGTAATTTTTCATTAATTTATATTATTTTTCAATACACTAATAATAATTATATTTAGATATAATATAATCTCTGTAATTAAAGAAAAGAATGCACTTGTTGAGATATAAATTTCTCACGGAATAAAAGAAAGAGTGAAAGGGGGAGGGGGGAGGAGGAAAGAAAGAAGGTAAAAGGGGAACAAGGAAAGAAAATGTGGAAGAGAAGGGAAGAGAGGATTTGAAAAAAGTAAGGGAGAAAAAGGAGAGACAAAAAGAAAGAGAGTTAATTTGTACTTATTATTGCTTACTTTCTCAAAGAGATTTTTTCTATCTTCTGCCTTTCCCACGTGACAAACAACACCTGAAACTTGTAATCCTTCGGATCGGAGTTCTTCTACAGCATTTTTTACATTCAACTCTTTACGACTGCTAATCATCACTTTAGCACCTTCCTGTGCTAAACGTTTTGCTATGGAAAATCCTATTCTGTAGAAATTTAAAAAATAATCTAAGCGCTGTGTTCAAAATGTTGTATAACTAATTAAGTTTCGCAAATAGAAAAAGCATATCTCTCTTTCCGCATGCCTATTCTGTAATTTTTTAACGCATGCGTTTAACTATAATGCATGTATTAAATATTTTGCGCAGCTAAAACATATCGAAAAATAGCCGCACAGCAACGCGTAACAATAGCGAATTTATTGTTAAAAGTTACAGAATAGAGATACTGATTTCTGAAACTGAGACAAAATTTTCGAGTTAATAATAAATATTAAATTTTTATATTACCCATCTGTCGATGCTGTTACGATCGCGATTTTGTCTTCTAATCGGTTGCTTTTTATGGGGGAAGCTATATTAACGCTATATCTTCGGACACTTTGAATAATTGAAGCACGTAACATTATGAAGAATGCGAAACGTCTTTCGTGATACGATAAATTTAATATGAGTTGCGACTCTTTAATTCCTGATATTTATACAATTGTGATATCAGTAATGTAGCAATATCTGTGACATAGTATCTTTTCGTATTTTGTAAAATAAAGCGGAATAAAATTAAAGACAAAGATGTTTTCTCTGTAAACCTTGGCCCGTATTCAAAACGCGCTTACAACGATGTTATAGCGCGCTGACAAGTCGATGTTATGTTTGCACGTTACCGGCGAATCTGTTATTGGTTCTATTATCGCGTGTTTAGGTAACAGCGCTCTATTCTTTCTTTTTTATTTATATTTATATCTCGACTTGTCAGCGCGTTCTGAATACGAGCCCTTTTGTATATATGTGCAAACAGAACCTTTCTCCTTAAGTTTTTGCACGAAAACACATTGCTTCCTTTTTTGCATCGTTTCGTTAAAAAAAAACGATAGAACCGGGCGATGAATGTGAGCGGACCTGATGTAAATAATAAATCTCTATATTGTTAGTTCGTCTGTTTAATTAACACACCTGTATTGACTCTTCCATTACCTCATATTGAGAAATAATCGCTACTTGATGATGTATGTGCATTGGAATGCCGCTTGATTAAAAGAAATATTAAGAATGAGGGAGTGGTTTAGATGTTATGAAAAATAAGAAATTTGAAATATATGTAGTATGTGTAAGAAATTTGTATATGTATATACATATCTCTGGAAGAGATAATAGAGATGTTTAGATCATATTTATAGAATTATTCTAAGGGATGTAGTTGTGAAAGTTTTAAATAATGTGTATGTGTGTAATGTTTTGCGAATTGTTTATACAAATCATAATTTATTAGAAAATATTTTATATACATAAAAATATAGCTACACTAATTCCCCACAAGCAGTTATCACGACTTTTTGCGTCGGTGTGCCTGCTTTTGTTCCACATTTTTCAACCTTTTTGAGCACGTCTAATCCACTAAGGACATGCCCAAAGACGACATGCTTTCCATCCAGCCAATCCGTTCTGGCTGTACACATGAAAAATTGCGATCCATTAGTGTTTGGGCCGGAATTTGCCATTGATAAGGTCCCTGGACCTGTGTGCTTGAGTTCAAAATTTTCGTCGTCGAATTTGTTGCCATAGATCGACTTACCACCTGTACCATTATGATTCGTAAAATCGCCTCCTTGACACATCTATTACACTTGTATTAAGGATTTTATAGTTTAATTTTATACTTATATTAAAGGTTAGAAATTAATAAATAATGTAAAATTATTCAAGAAAAATATAGTTTTCAAAACAATAAGGATTTAAGGATACAAAGTCTGGAATAATTCTATGAAGGGTGCTACCCTGATATCCATATCCTGGTTTAGATGTTATGAAAAATAAGAAATTTGAAATATATGTAGTATGTGTAAGAAATGTGTATGTGTGTAAAAATATGTGTAGAAATTATGTATATATGTAAGAAATTTGTATCAGGTGATTGCATAAGTTCGTGCCCGATTTAAATATAAACTTCAATAGATTATATTTTAGAGATAACACTTTTATTAATCAATTATATAGTCTCCATTCTTTTCTACAATGGTTTTCCAACGATCTACAAGCTTGTCGATTCCATTTTTGAAGAAAGAACTTGGTTTTTCTTGAAAAAAGTTTGTAAGGTGGTTTTCGACAACTTCCTCGGAATTGAGATTCTTGCCATTTAAACTATTCTGCAAAGACCGGAACAGATAAAAATCTGAAGGCGCAATATCTGGAGAATATGGCAGGTGCTGCAGAATTTCCCATTGCAACTCCTGCAATTTTCGCAGCGTCTGTTGAGCGACGTGTAGCCTAGCATTGTCGTGGTGGAAGATGACGCCTTTTCGATTGGCCAAAATCGGACGTTTTTCTCGAATAGCTGCAGCGAGTCTAGTTAGTTGCTCACAGTACTTGTCCGCCGTGATTGTTTCGCCGCGTCGGAGCAGCTCAAAGTAAATAATTCCCTTGCGATCCCACCAAACACACAGCAACACCTTCATCGGATGCAAGCCAGCCTTTGCTACGGGTTCTGCTCCTTCAGCTGCTGTTTTCCATGTCCTCTTTCGCTGTACGTTTTTGTAGAGAATCCACTTTTCATCGCCTGTTACCATTCGATCTAAAAAAGGCTCTTTTTTGTTACACTCGTGCAATCATCCAATATATGTATATATACATATCTCTGGAAGAGATAATAGAGATGTTTAGATCATATTTATAGAATTATTCTAAGGGATGTAGTTGTGAAAGTTTTAAATAATGTGTATGTGTGTAATGTTTTGCGAATTGTTTATACAAATCATAATTTATTAGAAAATATTTTATATACATAAAAATATAGCTACACTAATTCCCCACAAGCAGTTATCACGACTTTTTGCGTCGGTGTGCCTGCTTTTGTTCCACATTTTTCAACCTTTTTGAGCACGTCTAATCCACTAAGGACATGCCCAAAGACGACATGCTTTCCATCCAGCCAATCCGTTCTGGCTGTACACATGAAAAATTGCGATCCATTAGTGTTTGGGCCGGAATTTGCCATTGATAAGGTCCCTGGACCTGTGTGCTTGAGTTCAAAATTTTCATCGTCGAATTTGTTGCCATAGATCGACTTACCACCTGTACCATTATGATTCGTAAAATCGCCTCCTTGACACATCTATTACACTTGTATTAAGGATTTTATAGTTTAATTTTATACTTATATTAAAGGTTAGAAATTAATAAATAATGTAAAATTATTCAAGAAAAATATAGTTTTCAAAACAATAAGGATTTAAGGATACAAAGTCTGGAATAATTCTATGAAGGGTGCTACCCTGATATCCATATCCTTTTTCGTGCGTACACAGAGCTCGAAAGTTTTCTGCAGTCTTTGGCACAATGTCTGCTCGTAACATCATAATAATTCTACCTACTTCTTGCTTTCCTATGCTTATGTCGAAATAAACCTGAGGATTCTGCTTTGCTTTCTTTGGTTGCGTAACATCATTTGTCTTTGTATTATCATCATTTTTCAATGTCTCCCCTGCATGTTCTTGTAACCAAGCATCATCCGCCCATACTGGTTTTGATGAACCTTCTTTTATCTTTTGCGGTTTAGCAATATTTACCCTTATTGTTCGGCCAAATAATTCCGAGTCATTCTGTTAATCAACATAGATTATTTTTAATGACTTATCATGATACAAACATAAAGAAGATGTCACATTGCTCGTATATATACGTAAGATTAGATTAGATAAGAAAAAAATAAAAAAAAGATATTAATGCATTTATCCCATATTTATCCCTTAAATAATTGACTACAAGATAAATAAAATTTATCAATAATTTTAGAAGCTGTTATCTCAATAATCAATAAATTATTCATAAAACTAGCTATTTGACAATTTTTACAAAATTTTGAATATTATATTACTGTTCTATTAAACGATTCGCGATAACACGTATGCTGTTTTACAAATATACCATATTATCTATAGCTGCAGCTGCATCTTCTGCCATTTCGAATTCAATGAATGCAAATCCTCTATGCTTTTCAGACTCATAGTCCAATGGTATTTGAACATCGACGATTTCTCCAAAGGGTATAAACGCTGCGTGCAGTACCTTTTCGTCGACCTCTTCGGCCAGACCACCTAAAAAGGAAAAAAAAATTATATCCTTAATTTGCTGCACGCAATTAATTCTATGGTTCCTCGCGATACCAATATTTTAACATTTTTGATAAATTATTTCACAAATACAGGGATCAAATCTGCATTATATTTGGGGTTAAGTCACGTTAAACGCATGCATTAGAGGTTACCGGTCAAAATTCTTGATTATTAATCCGTACGTGCCTACGTAAATGGTTCGCTTTGTGTTGCCGCTCATGATGCGTTATACGTTTTCGTTGTTGTTTAAATGCGATTCTGATATAACTTGAACTATCAGACCTGATAACGAAGCATATATATTGACTGAAAGACGCCGACGCGCCGGCAGCGACAAACGAGCATTTTATAAATCGAGTATGTATATGTATATAGGATGCGAAATCACGTCGCTTATATAAGTTCGTTCTGTCAATCGCCATCTTTCAATCGTTAACGTCAAGTGACCGGTGGGACGTCAATTAAACTAGCGACGCGCAAATCATCGGATTAACAATCCGTGTGGAGGGTAAGTTTTATTAAAACAATTGTTAAATTTTATATTTCCGATAAAGCGAACGATTTATTTTATGAAACGCAAAATGGATTTGTGATTATATTGTATTTTATACGCGTGTCATATAAAAAGATGTCACATAAAAGGAAACGTCATATAAAAATATAATGCAATTAATTACATTGATATCTCTGATATGATTGGATCATCAAACATAAAGAATCTAATTACAGAGGTCGAATAAAATTTATAAATCGAAATCATTATAACACATGGTTCAAATGTATTTCACAATTTCAATGTGCATTGTTTAATATTTATTTATCTTCTGTTGTATGACTCTTCGTTGCAGGACACATCTGATTGTCTGAAAGAAAATGTTTGTTAGACTAAAGCTGTTACAAAGTTATCTATTCCATCACGTGCCTTCGAATTGTAGATCAATGCATCTTTTGAGAGATAATGCATATGTCAATGGAAATTGGATAAGTGCCGGTAGCAAGCAGACATTCCCCGTTTGCAATCCGGTCGACAATACTGTTATTGCTTGTGTTCCTGATATGAATATCGCCGATACTCAAGTAGCCATTGACACTGCTGCCAAAGCTTTTGAATCGTTCAGTAAAACTACAGCCAAAGAGAGAAGCGATTTGCTTAGAAATTGGTACAATCTGATGGTTAAACATTCGGAGGATCTCGCTTGTATTTTGACCAAGGAGAATGGAAAGTCCCTCGCCGAGTCTAGGGCGGAGATTAAGTATGGAAATTCCTTCGTGGAGTGGTTTGCGGAGGAAGCTAGAAGAATAGACGGGGAAATTTTGCAAGCTCCTCTATCTAACAGGGAATTGTTTTTATTAAGACAACCAGTTGGAGTAGCTGCTTTAATTACACCATGGAACTTTCCACACGCTATGATTACCAGGAAAGCGAGCGCTGCTCTCGCCGCTGGCTGCACGTGCGTCGTGAAACCGTCCGAAGACACCCCATTAACGGCACTGGCATTAGCAGACCTTGCGGAACAGGCAGGTTTCCCTGCAGGAGTCTTGAACGTGCTTACCACGAGCGTAACAAATTCCGCCGCCGTTGGCAAGGAGCTGTGCGAAAATACCAAAATAAGGGTGTTATCGTTCACCGGTTCCACAGCCGTGGGAAAGATCTTATACAAGCAATGCGCTTCAACCATGAAACGACTTGGCCTCGAACTGGGTGGTAACGCGCCGTACATCGTATTTAAAACTGCGGATGTCGATCTAGCTATAAATAGTGCCATGGCAAGTAAATTCCGCAATACTGGTCAAACGTGCGTCTCGGCAAACAGATTCTTCGTGGAGGAAGATATCTTCGACGAGTTCGTCGAGAAATTTGTTGGAAGGATCAAGCAGGACATTAAGATGGGAGATGGTAGTAAGGAGGGTGTCACTCACGGACCGCTCATCAAGAAGAGTCAATTAAATATGGTGAACGGTTTGGTGGAGGATGCAGTCCAGAAGGGAGCTAAGGTACATTGCGGCGGTAGTCCATTACCGGATCTCGGTCCGCTGTTTTATGCACCTACTTTATTAACCGGAGTAACTAAAGACATGCAAATATACAATAAAGAAATCTTCGGACCCGTAGCTGTGATCAATAAGTTTTGCAACGAGGAAGATGTATTAAGACAAGCCAATGATACGCCGGTCGGTTTAGCCGGATATTTTTTCTCACAGGACGTATCGCAGATATTTAGAGTCGCGCGCAAGCTGGAGGTCGGTATGGTAGGCGTCAATGAAGGATTAATTTCATGCGCAGAGGCTGCCTTTGGTGGGGTAAAAGAATCTGGTTTAGGAAGAGAAGGTTCTAAACACGGGGTCGAAGATTTTCTCGATATCAAATATGTGTGCATAGGCAATCTTAAGCGTTGATTCTGCAAATAAAGTTAGTGATATGATATGCATTTTGAATAGCAATCATTTAGTTATTCGATAAGGGATGCTATAATTCAATGATAGACAATAATAGGCTATATAATTTAATTATATAATCTACATAATAGCGGAGAAATGAAAACAAAAATTTTACAGTATTCTAAACATCTGTAGAAGGATTTTTGTAACTAGATATTTATTCATATATAGTGTTCCTATTATTTTTACGTTTATTGATATTCTAAGCATGTTTATCTGCCATAGTTCACTGCGAGTTCATATCATAAACATTGGAAATAATTAATTTGATTTACTTTTATGTAAAAATTAATTTAAATTCAAGCAGCTTTATTAATTAATATCACATACACTTATTAAAATGTACAAAATTTATTGCTTGATATATAGAGTGGGAGTTATATATATATATATAATGTCCATACTCCCAATTTTTTTTTTCCATATATTACGAAAAAAGACAAGAGTTACTAAAGAGAAAATATAACGACGATATCAGTTTGATCTTATGATCAAATACTAAAATTATGATCAATATGTTTTTAAGGTCAAATAAAGGTTGTCATAATTTCTTTATATATAAATGGGACCATACATATTAATTTGCATAGACGTCTAGATCTTTCTTTAACACTATTCTATTTCAATTTATTAAAGAGTTAAGAATTTTCAAAATTCTATTTAGTAAGTGCTTAATGCTATCTAGGATCAACTTTGTGGATGATTTTGAAAATGCCATTCAAGATCAAACTGATATCACCATTATTTTTATTAAATGTTAAGTATAGTATTTTAATATTAAATAAGATTATATAAGTGAGATTAATATATATTAAGTTTTTTATAGATGCTAATATTAATTATAAAAGAATATTGTTTGTATTTTTCTAATCTATTTTTTCTGTTACAAATTTCATATTTTCTATATCATATAATGTACTATAGTACAAAACAAGTCTTCCAAATTTTGTAAATAGAGTACAATATACATGTAAGAAATATCTAAGACACATTTTTTTGCATAGAGACATACTTTTTCTACAATGAAAGTTATATAATACGTTTTACTCATGTCGTTACTAAGCAAATAAAAAACTTCATAGAAGAGTTTAGAGTATATGAAAACAATAACATGGGAGATAGAGAGAAAAAAAAAGATTATACTAAAATATGTATATAATTTGTTACACACATCTTATTTTTTGCGCTCTCTCTCTCTACATTGCTTTTTTGAAATATTTTTTAATTGCCATATTTTTTATAGCTTAATTATCGATATCTATATAATCAAGTACCAAATTAATATTGAAGTTCATTTAAAACTTTATAAAAAAAGAAGAGCTTTTATTATATTTACACTGTTTGATTTGTCAGAATGTTTAATTTTTATTCAATCAACTTGAAGATATTTAATATTTCTATTATAATAATAGAAAAACATATTACATATCTTATTTTAGTTTCTGATATAAAAAAAAAAAAATAATTATGTGCCAATAACATGTCCTGTGTTTATCTACTATAAATTGATAATCTGATATATAAAAATCTCTTAATCTTCCTTGTTGTTGTTTTTTCATGTGCGTATTCTGTTATTTTATAATCATGATAACACTGATAATTATATAGAAACAATAATTTTGTTACCATTTATGATTGTAATGGATAGGTATTTGTATAATTATATAATCATATTTTAGAAATAAAGATATATTCACATAATGTAATAGTAAATATAATACATATGCAATAAAACAAGTTACATACATGTTGTCATTGACAGTGTTATAACCAGAATAAAACAATAAGAATGTCAGCAATTTGTCAGTCCGTGTTTTTTAATATACCTTTCTCTGGCTTCTTGTATCATTTTAGCTTTCTTTTCTTGGAAGGAAGAAATACCGAATATTTTGTCCTTTGCAGAATTTGGAGATCCACTAGATGATGTTACAGATGATGGTGCTTGTGGATTTGACTCTGGAGTATAAGTAACTATGCCATCAAGAATATTGGCAATTGTAACATCAACGTTCCGAGTTTTCACTATAATATAAAATAGCAAATATAATTTAGTAATTGCTCTATTATAAAAAAAGCTATACTATATAATAGTATAAAATTAATACAACTAAATTAAAACAGATGTTTTGTGTGTGTATAATACATACAAAGATCTCGGAGAATCACATTATGTGGAACTAATGGAAGTACTTCGCTGACTTGACGAACCATTCTTTGTATTTCTATACTATGTATAACTTGTGAATTTGGCGTACTTCTGTTAGACCGAGTATTACTAAGTATCATTTCCATGCGGTAACGCTTTTCATACTCTGTTTTGTCTGATACAGTATGAGAACTTGTTTCAAGTCCCAAAGCATCTGCGATATCCCTTTCTACCTCCCGCACAAGAGTCTCATGATCAGGGTTTCGTCTAATTTTCAGGTACTTGAGTGTGAAAACTGTATAAGGGACAAACATAAACCAAAATACTTCTGTCCACCATGTTGAAGCCAATGAGGTAATGTGCACAGGTACGAATTCTGGTCTTGACGCTTTGATGGCGACCGGCTGAACAGACGTTTCTATGCTAAACGGCCAAGAATTAAATTTCAATAGAGCGACTTTGCTATTAGTTGTGCCAAATTCAGGTTGTATAGCGATGCTATACATAGAGGTGGAAAGAAATTGCTTTATGTTGGCAATCAGTATTTCTTTACTGCTCATATCCATTTTTTGTAATCCCAGCGCTTTACTCAGAGCAGCGGGTAATTCCCAAACATTGGGGATTAGTGTCTCCGTTGTTCGATGTATAGCAAAGTGATCCAGAACAGACACATTATTAGCGATTATTATTCTTGATTGCTTATCTCTGAGTTCACTTTCAGTATCGAATTTAACTATAATTCCAAAAGCAAAGCTAATACCGTAACTTAAGAATGTTTGAAGAGGATTACAATCTGGTAATAGCGATGCGATAAGCCAAAGTTGTAATGTTACGAATAATCGCAGTAACACAAGTAGAACACCCACTGGTGAATACAATATTACAAGTAGAAGACGCCAACCGCTAGGAAACCTAAATTCACAATAACACAATTGATTATATATTTCAATGCAGTGTATAAGACTTTCATAACAATTGTGTAGTGAGGAGTAGATCTAGTTTCCGTTTTTTTTCTCTAAATTTTCTTTTTACTGGTTTCACATATGTATGTGAAAAAGAACAATATTCTTTCAATTTTAGAAACATTTTTGACGCTTTTCGATTAACATTTACGACGACATTTACGAGATAACGCAATTGAACAATAATGACTATGGCTCCATGCTTTCATATTTATAATATTTACAGATCATCCTTTACCTGCTCTTGTTAAACAAATACTGAATATCAATTTGTGACATCTCTCACAACAAACATCTGTTACATTTAAAAGTGCAATTTCCGTTCGGTATTTCCTTGCGGTATTTAAATTGTTACGTTAGCTGCCGTTCAGACAATGACGCGATTTTTATTTGATCCTTTTTTTACATGCTTGTCAGCAGTAACCTTCTAATTGATGCGGATTTTCCTTCTCGCCACTTTCTACAATCAGCTGTTCCATATGTCACGATACTAGGGATTTTGTTTTGCAGTGTGTCTCAGCGGGAATTTCAAGCGCCATGCTGTCAGTGGTCCATGGATCATTTTATAAAATCCCATATAATTTAATGTAATTATATATATATAACAAGTTAAAAAATATAAATCATGATTATTGTAATTTAATCGACAGATGACAAAGTATCCGAGATTGATGAAATAATATATATGATATAATACATTTGTTACTCTATTTTTGTTATATATGTAACAAATATTTTTAATCATTATTATTATT